GAAAGTGATATCTGGCATTTGACAGGCTATAAAATGAAAAGTTGTAAAATATATCCAACGTTGAAAACAAAAACATAATGAGAAGTTTCTTTGTCAAAAAAGTTAAAAATTTAAATGATTACCTAATTTAAAAAAAAAAAAACTTTAAATATAATTTTAAAAAATTCGATTTCATACAATAGAATACCGGCATTTTGAATAATATCTAGGATTTTATTGATGCTAACTACACAAATATAAATAAAAATACAGTTAAATGCTTAATTTATTATGTTATTATAGTAATTATAAATTAATACTAAATTCTATACTCAAATGCGAATGCTTGTAGACTAAAGTTCTAATCTTAAATACATATATGTTTTTATTACACTAAAAGCATACAAATTATATATTAGTATACTAGATGTATAGTTAAATAATAAATATGATGCAAAAAAAAAAAAAAAGTAACACTATTTTATGTCTTTTGTAATAAATTGTTTTTAACGTAATTTTGTGTCAAGTGTATCTGTGTAACTACATAATTTAATTAAAATATAAAATCATCAATACCTATAATACCTTAATTTGCTTAATATATAGATACTGTATTATTATTTTTTTTTTAATCTGTAAAGTATTGAAACAAAATTCACCAAAGTGTTTATCATATTTAAGACTAATAAGTAATAACTAATGTTTTAAACTTATACTAGCTAAAAGTACCTACGTAAAAAAAATATGTAAAATTTCGAAAATAAGATATCTAATGTTGTTAATAATATGCACAAAAACAAATATGAAATATGAAAAAAATAAATTTATATGTAATATTTATACGACGGAAAAGCAGTAGAAATTTTTATATTTTATCAAACTGAAAAATCATTAAAATGTAAAATGTTAATCGTGTACAAACTAATGAATTAATAGATTTACGATAAATCATCAACTTAACTATAAAATAGCATTATAGCATATAAGCGCAATAGAAATTAAAATCACACGCATTGTTATCATTAAATTAATATTTATACTGCAACGATGACAATAAATACTTACGTTAAATAATATTATTCAATATTAAATGTTTTATATTGAAAGTGTAAAATCCTACAATTTCCAAACTCTGCTAATAAATGATTTTAACTAAAATGAAATAAAATCCAATAATATGAACTTGACATCCAACACGCTTAAACATATTGAAAAGTTATTATTAAAAAGTTAATTATAAATGGTTTATCGATTATTTTTACAATTCACATCAAAATGTATAATCACACAAATGTAATAAGTAATTACTTTAATAAATGTATAAGAAGTCATATAAACATAAATAATTTATAGTGTACTTATGATTAGAATAATGTATATCTTAAACAAATTTTATCCAGATTTTAAAAAAAAAAGAATGAACGCCATGTTTACTTAAATAAGAAAGGAAAGTATATTTTTCAAAACGTGAACTTCTACATTGTTTTGTTTAAATATTGTATATTAAACATTAGTTATTTTTTATTTAATTTTATTATTAAACATTTGAGATGAAAAATTAAACTTGTACTGTATGTTTGATAAATAATATACAACATTTTATTTTTTAATTAGATATTTTGTAAATATTTTTGGATGCCTTTTTATCTTTTGAGTTTTTGATTTTTGTTTTAATTTTATTGAATTTGATCTCTTTATCGTTTCGGTATCTATTAATTTGCTATAATTTTATGTTTTTATAGTTAGCATTTTATTATCATTAACTATTGTATGCATTATGTCCAGGGCTATGTTAAACTCTCTCGAATGGATTGAATGTATTTTCAAATTAAAACTAATGTTTTTTTTTAAATTTTTTTTTCTATTTCGACTATAATACAGCTATAATTAGAAACTTGGGTGCATTGTTATTTTCTGTGATTTTCATACTTAACATTTTTTAAATTCATATTTTCATATTATTATAAACATTAAATTATTTTGATACAATTATAATGTACAAATGAAGTTTGACTTGGGAAAATTTACATACATCGTTTAAGTAGTACTAAAGTAGATTCGGAGGAGTTTACAATTGTTCGATGACCAGTAGCTCGGATCACTTTTATTTCCATTTTAAGGTTTACAAATACACACACGCGTGGACAAAAAAAAAAAGACAAGTTTGCGTGAACTTATGTACCAAAAAGTATTAAAATAAAATAAATACTAAGCAGTCCAGGAATATGCAGCACAGTTCATATAAAGTTACTTGCGATTTGTCTATCTCGCGATTAATGTCTCGCATGATTTTCGTAGCTGTCTTAGTCGTCCTTGGGAATCTAAATTTCTCGTAAGTCCGTTGGGAGTCTATGTACACCGGCAGGTCATTGTAACGCATCATTTTTGGGCTTATTATATTTGTGTGCTCGGCCGTGTACAATATTTCAGAGAGCCGGACGCTTCTGATCGTTGTCGTCGCAACGCTTGTTTGCATAAACCACTGATTTTCGTCGCTATCCCCGTAGCCCTGTATCACTCTCAGTTCTTGGTAATCGTGTTCAGTGGACACGGTCAACGTCCAGATGGTCGGCGGGTCGTCGTAAATGATTTTGAAGTCCGACGAGAGTTGAGTGTACTCGCAGTCCAAATCATTCAAGGCCTCCAAAAAAACTCTTTTCGCCCCCTCGTGGCTGGACACAAACTTGTACTTGTCCATTTTTTCGCCGTAGAGCTCCACGGTGGGAATGGCGTGGAGTAGCTTGCCGTTCTGCTCGTTAATTAACGATCCTTCCAAAAACGAGTACACGCTAAAGTTATCGCATAACCGTTTTCGTATCGCCTTAATAAGTTCGACCATGGACACGTTATCCAACTTGACATAAGGAACATACATGGGGTTTACGAATTCCGAGAAGATGATGATCTGATGAGTTAAGGGTCCGTTCGCTTTCAATTCGGATTGTTGAAACAAAAACGAAACGTAAATAGAAGTGGTCATTTTCGAATACTTTTTCTTTTTTGTTAACCTTACACAATATAATATCAACTAGATATATTGTGATGTAATTAAATTCTCAGGTTTTTTGCTTGGACTTATAATTCAGAGAGTTTCTGTATTCAGCTATCTACTCCAGTATGTATAATCCAAAACACGATGATGCAATTCTGTGTAAAAAAAAAAAAAAAAAAATACAGTATTATCTTCTTGCAATAAAATATAATTGTATAAACGTAGAAACGTAGTTTAATCATTGAACGCTTAATAACAATAATATTATTAATCAGACAATTACAATATTTTAATAAATTAGTAAACGGTTACCTTTAAACAGCATGAATACAAACATACATAACATTTTTTTTTTACGTTTAAGTAAATTAAAAATATTTTAACTTATTATCACTATCATGGCTGAGCCAAAAAAATTTTTCCGAATGCATATTTTAAGAGTATTAGAAAATAAGTTAATAACGAAGCCAATGATAATGTGAGACATTATAAATACTTACACTGTATATGACATATGTGTATGGTGTATGTGAATATATTAACTTTTAGTAACTATTAGTTATATAATTTATGTGTTATTAGTTATTATACACTATAATAATTGGTATTATTATTGTTTTTTGCTATGATTTATTACAATATTCATTATAAAAATTCAATTAATTCATATCTACTTTACGATAAATAATTACAAAATTCAGTAATATTTAACCAATCGATTATAATGTCAATATGAGTATTTTAGTCATAACTCATAAGTAAAAAATATTGAAAAAATAAATAGCTAGTCTCTCAATCTCGGTTTATGTATCTGGATATATAAATTAAAAAGTAAGATCTAGGATGATAAATATTAATAACAATATGGTATACCTAGTTATTTTTATTGATTTTTAATAGAAAGAAGTGTTATAGACTATGCTGGATCGTAATTCGTAATCAATGTTGACAGTATGAAAATTATAAATTCATAAACCTAGCTATTCTGATAGTTTGCAGTGTTAAATATATTATAGCATCAATTACTATTAATTGTATCTTGGCGTTTGAAATAAATTAAATAAACTGGTTTTATATGACCGTTGTAGATATTTAGATTTTAATAAATATTATTTTATTTGTCGGTTTAATACTTATAGTTCATGAGGATAAGAGTAATAACAGACAGTAAAAATAATATTTAAACTATAAGTTAAAATTTTAAAATAAAATTTCAATAGTTAAATATTTATATTGGCATCTGCTACATTATTGTATAATGATTGAAATTGCATAACGTGTCTGCTGTGTGGCAAATAAATTTATTATTCGCACATATGCTTACAAGTTACACTAACTTATACCTACCTAAAAACCAGGTGCAGCTACTTAATATTGTGTAGTGAAGAAAGTGAGATGCGTACGTTTGCTTATCCACCCAAAAATGTATGTACTTTACGCAATTCAAGTTGTTCTTATGATTAGGTTAAAGATACAAATAAACAGAGGTTAATATACCTCTGTAGATTATTATTTAAACATGAGAATAAAATTACTTAAACAACAATAGTGTTTCCAGTTATAACATTAACTGTGTATATCAGTATATATAATGTATACTACAAATAACTTATATTGAAGTAACGTTTAAACTGTGATTTGTTTTAAAACAATACAAACATTCGTAATATATGTATTTAGCTACATGATACAGTTTGGATAGGTACCTTAAACATGCACTGTGGACATTTTTATTTCTTTAGAACGACCGACGGACGTGGTTAAACCGTAAATTAATTACCATATTTATGAACTACATTGCTACAGTAGTACAGCACACTAATTCACTTCATATAATACTATATTCATTATGAATGATCAAACTTTTATCATAAACAAAAGAAAATCTTATCTGTGATTTTACGTTTTTATTTTATTCACAGATATTTTAATTTGATTGTGGACTTTTATAAAAGCATGACACCAGTGATTGACATTTTTACGAAAGTTTGTGTTATATAAAATAATATGTTAATTTGTCGAGTTATTCACTCATAATCTCAACTATAGTTTATATGATTTTAATTATTCATACTACAATGCCCGTTACGTGTTGTGCATTTGGTTGTTCTAATCGGGAAGGTAGAGATAAAATGCAATTGTTTTCGTAAGTACTTACGTACCAATTTGTGATTGGATCACGAATTAATTATTTTGGAACGAATGCAGTTTAGCTCCCAAACGATTTTTTCAAATTGTTTTTATTCTATAATGTGTGTTTTGCATGTTTGATTTGATGGTACTTTTTAAAAAAGTCACACAAACTTCATTTAAAAGTTATTAGAGTTGCGAAAAATGTTATCTAGATACCTAATTATTTGAATAAATATGTATTCAAATAATTTTCAACTATGGTTATTCGAATAAAATATTATTCGACTAAATTTAAAAGAAGATTATTCGATAACTTTTAGAGTAAACAAGTTTATAATTGAATCATTTTTTTTTTCATAATTATTCATTATTATTATTATTATTATTTAATAATTTAATACTATTTATTATTATTGTAATTATTACGAAATGTTTCGATTAATAATTAATTATTAAATATTATTCATAAAATAATATTGTTATATTATTATTATGATTAAAAAAAACATATCAAATTCTTTATTTTTTTTCTATTGATATATATTTGTTTTATTTATAATATTTTTGGATTTATCCTGGATAAAATACGATTTACATCATGTAACTTAAAATGCAATGCCAGTTATTGTTTTTAATATGTATTTTTTTTTTAATTATTAACCATGTTTATTCAAATAAAATAACCGAAAATTATTCGAATAAAATGTTATCTAAATAATCATCTAGATAAAATTGCATTCAAATAACGCCCTGCTCTGGAAGTTCTGAACAGAAAACTTCAAAATGCTCAATTTTTTTTAAAAACCGTGTTTTTAAGTTTAAAATACCAAAAATTTACATTTTTAGAATTTTTTCTTTTTTATTGTTAGTATCTACATTTTTAACATTTTGTTGAAATCAGAATTCACCTATTGTACATACTTTTATGTTAACGTAAAACTTGATTATAAAGTTATTTCAATCATTTGCTTATTAAAATAACTCAAAATTAATTCTTTGGGCTTTTTTCATCTGGTGTATAATAACATAAAGAAGATTTTTTTGAAATTAGAGCTGGCTAATGTTATTTGGTTTGGAAGAAATAGGTTAAAATAATAAGCAATACAATATCAAAACGTACACTTTGTTAAAGTAGGTCTTGATTTATTTAATAATATGCCACAAACTATATCAAACTGCAAAAATTACACTAAATATAAACAACTTGCTAATACATGGCTGATAAGACGTACCTACGAAAAATAATTCCTCTATTTATGTTCTGTAATATAATTTTTATTCCGCTTTATCTTATTTTGTTCTATCTCATTTATTTTATTTGTTCGATTACATATTTTATCTATTCTGTTTATTTATTTATTTACTAACTTGTTGATCTTTTAAATATATAATTGTTTATAAAATTTGTTTATTCTAAAATTTTAAATGTTTTAAACTACACTATAACCACTAAACTAACATTATTTAAATTTAAACTTTATGTATGTACAAATGATTATGAAACACTAATATCACCAATACGAGGTACTACCTCAGTGGTGAATTGGGCCAACCAAACAATATATAACTATATATAACTATATATAACTATATATATATATAACTTTATCACACTGTACAGATATAGGTACCTAAAGTATATTATATTAAATCAATATCTTCGTCATCCGATACGTCGAATCTATCTTTGTCGTATTTGCGTGGTCCTCAAAAAATACAAGTTATTCATTCAATTAAGTAATATTTTAGTAAAATATTTTTTACTAAAAAATGTTAATTTTTTTTGTTTTAATAATTTAATGAAATTCTTTAAAGTTCAATTATGATAGCTGCAGTTAGTAAAAGATAAAAACTAAGTAATACTATTTTATTTTTTTTTTTTAATAATGTGTAAATACTAGGTGTAGGTAACTCTTAAATAAAATTGATTTTAAAATAGGTATATTTTGTAATTTATTACAATTATTTAAATGTAGGTAATCTAAAATAATTATAATAAAATATCAATATTGTCCTAAATTTGCATGAGTTACAATTTAAAATATCATGTTAGGTATTACCTGTACGTAGTAGTATGTAGGTAATTATGTAAGATTTTAAAATATTTGACCTATTTAAAGATGGCGGACAACGATACGCTAGACGTCAGTTATCACGTTGAAATAACATTGGTGATAAAAAGAGTTCGCAATATTGTTTATGCTTAAAAAATTGTTTCTACTTTAATATCTATGATTTTATTAATAGTTTAACTCAATAACACTGTATAAAAACTAAAAACCATCTTGTTGTAAATGTTTACAATTCAATTATTTCAAAACATATATAATATATATTATATTATATATATATATAAACGATTATGTTAAAAGTAGGTATCGAATGGTTTTGTTTTTGTTTCACACGAAACATAATAATGTATTTATAATTTCGTAATCACCAATAAAATATTCTCAATTAGTGGTTCTAGAATATGACCACCTGTGGATTAAGTACTGATTTGAACATTTATTAATATTTTATTTTTTTTTTTCATACACTTACCTATATTATATTATTGTACCCTTTTTGTACGATATTAACGCGTCTTCGTATTAGTCGACGACAGCTGTTGCTTTTGTGCGTTTCCTACAAACGTTATTCCTAGCAATAAAATCAAAAACAATATCACTGAATAATGCAATAATTTTAATCCATATATCATATTATTATTATTATTATTATTATTATTATACACCGTTTAAGGTGAAACAAAAACAGTGGCTCGAGAGGAAAAGCCGTCGTGAAAATATTTTTCACACAGCAAAACACTCTCGCTCGGCGCCGCTTCCTACCAAAATAGTATTAGTACAACT